TTCAAAAAAAAAAAAAAAAAAAAGAGAAGAAAAATCCAAAGACTTACTGTAGCTTTAAATACTTTATCCAGGTTTACATCTTCATTACTCCATATTCTCAAAACCTTAAATCAACACACACAGGTTAAAAAAGCATTCCAATTTCTACTTATATCTAACACAAATAGTTAATAAATCAACATTTGATTTCTGTTGTATATGTTATTATATAAAAAGTTTTAAAACTCACCTTATTATCATGTACAACAATATACTCTCCAGTTTGAAAGTTGCACACAGCTGGACATGTTATAATTTGACCTTGTTTCACTGACCAGCTTCCCAAGGGTTTCTGATCAGAAACCTAGTAAAATCAAGATAACATAAAATATTCAAAAAGTCAATTTCAGACATTACAAGCAATTAAATTTACAATCAAGACAAAGAAAGAATTAAAATAATAACATTTAGGGGCGGCTGGGTGGCTCAGTCGTTAGGTATCTGCCTTCTGCTCAGGTCATGATCCGGGGTTCTGGGATCGAGCCCCGAATTGGGCTCCCTGCTTGGCGGGAGCCTGCTTCTCCCTCTCCCTCTGCCCCTGCTTGTGTTCCCTCTCTCGCTGTGTCTCTCTCTGTCAAATAAATTCTTTAAAAAAAAATAACATTTAATAAATTTCCTAAATTAAAAAAGTAAGTAGTCACAAAAAGACAAACACTATACGATTCCACTTAAGACAGAAAGTAGAATGGTGGTTGTCAGGGGCTGGGGAAATGGGCAGTTATTGCTTAATGGTACAGGGTTTCAGTTTTGCAAGATGAAAAGAGTTTGGGAGATGGATGGTGGTGATGGCTGCACAACGTAAACATACTTAATACCCTGTACGGTACACTTAAAAAACAGTTAACATAGTAAATTGTATGTTGTATGTATTTTACTACAATTAGAAATATAAAAAACTTGGGGTGCCTGCGTGGCTCAACTGATTAAGTGTCTGTCTTTGGCTGGGGTGATGATCTCGGGGTCCTGGGATGAGCCCCCCATCGGGCTCCCTGCTCAGCAGGAGTCTGCTTCTCCCTCTCTCTCTCAAATAAATACATCTTTAAAAAATATGTAAAAAACTTTTAAAAATTAATTAAAATGAAAATATAACTGGACGCCTGGGTGGCTCAGTTGGTTAAGTGACTGCCTTCAGCTCAGGTCATGGTCCTGGGGTCCTGGGATGGAGTCCCACATCAGGCTCCCCCTGCTCTGCCGGGAGCCTGCTTCTCCCTG